GCTGCTTGTTTATTTATATAATTAGCTCTACAATATTGAATAAAAAACTATAATGAAATACTTAGCTAATTGTCGTAATACATAATATTTTGTTGATGACAATCTACTACAAGTACAAAACCATTTTTTTGTAGTTTTGATTATAATAATAGTTACACTAGTATCACATAATTTCATGTTTTCACATAATTACAATCTTTTCACTAAACATTGGACAATCAGATTGTGGTAAATGTTGATACATCAGAGCAAGTACTTAATGAAATTGCCACTGATTTTATCACTACTAATCAAAACATTATAACTGTAGCATAAACATGTTTGATACAATGTATAACTGTCTGTACTCAACTCATTTACATAAAATGTTACGTTTGTGTGTGTCCCAGTAGTGTGTCCAGACACCCAGAGCATATAACGCGGGAAAGTCGGGAGTACATGTAATTTGGTGACAAAATGCAGTCTCATAATTCCGACACACAATTTAATGTACGACAGAAAATTGTTGAACTTTACTTAAATTGGCTGTCGTGTAGTCAACTTGCACAACAAACTAGGGTGTCAAAAAGTACTACGAATAATATATGCACTAAACTTATTACTAGCGGTGATGTTTCAGCTGGGAAGCACGGACGAAAACATGGTAACAGAACATGCTTGACTGGCAATATTTTACAGCATATTGAATTTTATAAACAGCGACAGCCTAGTATTAATCGGCGTGAAATTCAAAAAACAAAATGTCTAGCGCAAACAATAAAAGAGAGAATGGCGCCTTGGACTCAGACAGGTATACATTGTATCAAAAATGTTTATGCTACAGTTATGATGTTTTGATTAGTAGTGATAAAATCAGTGGCAATTTCATTAGGTACTTGCTCTGATGTATCAACATTTACCACAATCTGATCGTCCAATGTTTAGTGAAAACGATTGTAAAGAGTTAGTCAAAAGTTGATAATTGGTAAAATAAAATAAAACAATACTAGAGCTACCGATACTCAATTAAAGTTGAGAGTGTGCAACACACACAAAAATAACACCTTTAGCATTGTGTAATTAAGAAAAGACAATATTGTCTTTCATTAACATTATGAAATGTCAATCCCCAGAAGATCTAATTACCATATCACTCCCAATTAATATCATTTTGAAGAAATTTTAACCTTTTCAATGCCAGTTTCCTTTTCATCACAAACTCACAAATTAGTTCTGTTTATATTCTCCACTTTCCTTCCAAAGATTGGCTCAAAAATAGCCAAATTTTTTGAGTAAAATTAACTCAAATTTTGTATGTTGGCTCGAAAATTATGGTTCATTTCCAGAAATATTGAAGAATATGAGAAAAAATTGCACAATAATGTGGGCAAGAAAGTCTGGTGGAGAAAAGCTTATTAGTGTAGCTATCTGAATCATTTACGTTTAAGTTGTGTGTTCATTTTTAGCTCTCAGGCCATTGGTATGTCTATATTTACATACAACATGCTGGGTATCTTTGTTTTATTGTCTGCTACACTGTAACTTAATTAGCACCTCAGAAATACTTAAAAGCATTCTGCTATGCCATTTCTTTGCACAGTAGTGTAAACGCAATGTTAAATCACCCTTTACATTCATTGAATACAACAATACTTATTGAGTGATGCACTAGCTTTCCTCTGTGCTGTTTTATCAACAACTTGATGCAAAAATACTTGTATAGAAACACAAGTCTTCTTTTCATTAAAGGTTGCAGTTAGATTTTAACTCTTGTTTTTTAAACTTCAATAGGATGTATTCAGTATTAACAGTGCCGTGGATGTACAATACGCCTGTTTAGCGACAATTAACTTAAATTGCACACAAACGTACATAGATCAACATCCTTGAGCTGCCTAACAACTGCATAATACTATGTGCTCTGACCTTGTGTCATTCACATGACAGTATTCATGGATTTGTGACTGATATCACTGTAAAGAGGTGTTTTTTTTATTTCTATTGAGGTCTTGAACTATTCAATTACCTTTCATTATTCAACATATGTTTGCCCACTTGCATAGATTCCTATGTTAAAACTGTGTAGAATAAGCAGTGGCAGTTAGTAATCCTTCCTCCCACCTGAAAAACAAAAAACAAAACAAAAACAGGAAAATGTTTTAGCAAATCGATGTGAGAGCGTATTTCTATGTATTTTTAGTTTAAAACTCAGTCTTTAAAATTGTGTTTTTTTGTTTCATGAAAATTGAGTTTTCTTTCATTTTTTAATTAATTCTGACAAAAAAACACCTTAAAATATATTTGAACTGCTCTTTTTTATGATGCTCCTTTTTGAAATATGCTATGAACCAATTTGACATCAAGATTAAACCACAAATAAAGAACAACACACAACTGAATCAGTGGATTGCTGAAAACCTTGTTCGCTTACAATTAAATAACAAAACACATTACTGGAGCTGTATTGTGTAATATCACTGAGCGTTTCTATTTTAAGGTGCACTATTGATACAACAAGTGGTAATTGAAGAACAGTAGCATGTCTATTCTATTTAGAAAACCAATTTGCATCCTATTGTGTAGAATCCCTCCATCCTGCCCAGACCACTTGTTAACTGTTTTGTCAATGGTGTCTAGGACAATGTTGTCAGTCATCATGGTGTAATGTACATACATGTACTAATGAGTAAACATGTTCCCAGGATTTCAACTTCAGAGTCTAGCGAGGGACACCCATCAATCAAACGACCTAACCTGGTAAAAGTTTGTTAGATAGAATACATGACCAATGCTAGTATAAGAAATATCTAGGCCTCTGAGCAAAACAGATTGGATGACATCCAATGTTTTTAATACATCCTTGAATTTCAAGTTCTGTATTCCAATGTCAGATCATACCAGGTAGATTATTGCTTGACATAATCTGTTTTTAGGTTGCCATTTCGAGTATTATAGCCAATTAAAATATCAACTACACCTACTAAGATTAGACTATTTGATTTCATTGGTATAGCTTTGTTAGTAAATTGCGTTTTCGGTGGAATGATCATGAATTGCACTGATAATTTGGTTGGATACGCAATTACCAGTTTTATGGCACAGTGTGGTAGTAAACAACGCGAAACTGTCTCTTGTCAGTTTATAAGCATCAGTGTACACTCCACCTGAGGTGCATGGCCATCCCCTGATGTATTATTGTGACATCTGTGCCTTTGTATTGACCATGACCAGCCATGGTATAGAGAGAGTGTTAATTATTATGTTAATCAACAGGTTTTTGTATGTGGTGTGGGCAATCTTGCTCTAGCTGTGCAAGCATGTTTTGTATATACCAAATCTTAAATACTTTAAGATTATCAAAAGGATAGTTTTGATATGAAGCAGCTATGGATAGAAGAGTTCTTCGCAGGACATATATTATTAGTTTTCTGGTAAGCTGTCAGTCCATGGCTTTCTTTGCTGAATCTTTCATTTATATAGTATCTTGGTCAAGGTTCATGGCAGTGTGTGTATACCACATGTATACATGTGCTGATGAGTGGCTCAGAATGTGCTTTCTTGTTTTCAAAATTTATGTAGTTATGAGACAGTCCAGGAGTTTGCATTCATCAAATTTATCATGATCCTGAATCTTATCATGAATGTATCTCAAAAATTGAAACAGAGGTCCATTGTCTGCTCTCATTTATAGTTGTCTTCACCTACTTCACCTACCAAGTATTTCTGTATGCACATATAATAATCAAATTAAAATTATTTGTGTCTGTCTTTGGAATATATAAGCACATAAGCATACAGTTGTGTGCATTTTTTGCTTGCAACCTAATTGGAGGAGTTTGCCTAAATGACTCCAAACTGACAATTCTTAACTTGATAACTCTAAGCTTGCATTAATTAAACCATTATATATGGTGATATATGGTGTATATTCAATTTCTAAACACATATCCATAACACAATCTTTTCATCTCAATACTCATCAAACTTTCCCGCCACTCCCTTTTTTCTCCACAATGCTGCAGTTGTTTGTCATTCAAATTCCATAATACCGGAGTATAAACGAACACCAAAGGCTTCTTTTTGATTTTGAACTTGCTCCCCTCCGCCCCTCTCTTTTTTTAATCTCTAGATGCACACACTTTGACTACCTGTTGTTCGTGTCACATGAGTTGCAATTATATGAAGGACATCCACACTGAGAAACATTTCCCTGTGACCTCATCCTCCATGAGAGCCGTAATTACACCTTGGTTGGCAACTTTGAACATTCAAAGACCAATTCTCATTCAACTGTATCAGAACAAACATTAATACACTCATTTGTTTAAAAATAGTTTCTTTTTACCCTCCTCCTTCTTTATACTTGGCTGGGACAAGGTTCTTTAATCAACGGACAGTGTTTTTTTTACTCTCTCAGCCCTCTGTAGCTAGGGTATCTTTTCTGTCAATGCGGCATGAAAAGAATTGTATGTAAACTGATCCATTCATAGTTTGTATAGACCGGAAAGACCTGACTTCATTGTCAGTTCAATAAATCTGTAATGAGTACTTTGTTTCTCTCTATGGATGCCATAATTTTTTTTACTTTCCTGATATTAAATATAACCAGAGGTACATTACTTGGGGTTTGCAACTCGCATAGTACTGTATGGTGACATCATGTCAAGATCCCATTCAAGTCTCTTCTCGTAGATAGCGAGACTGAGGCTACGACCTTCTGACATGACGCATATCAATGGTCAAGGTTTGTAATGAAAAAAATAAACTTTTCTTGTCACTATCATAGTGAAAAATGTAATACATCGAAAATGTACAGAAAATATAGTTCTCGTAATCCATCATATCGTGGGCAGCTATTTTGATCCATCTGGACATCCCAGTATCCTAGTTACCTCGGGCATGCGCATTCGCATTTTTTCTGAGTTGGAACATTTATGCGAGAGCGAGATTGTGACGGGATCTTGGTATCATGTCACCGTAGTTACAAACCCCAAGTAATGTACCTCTGATATAACACAGATATAGATATAGTTGCTACACAAGATCAGGGATTTGTTACTGCAGCAAAAATCGAAGGACAGAAATTTATGTTTTGTGCATTGTATGTTAGGTGTCACAGTGCATGAGCATGCAATTATATAATTGCACTTCAACACTAAATTTGTTTATCATTCTCCATGTGGTATCAGTGCTTTACTTTGGTTTTATAATATTACACCACTGAGTACTGCAGTAGCAGTGCTTCTGTTTTTTCCCTCCAGTACATAAAAGGCTTATTTTTACATGTAATTTCACTGCGGTGATTTGTAACTGTCTATATGGTGTGTTTGGTTAGTGACATTGAAATTCAAGAATGACATCAATGCAATTGCCACAGTTAGACATGTATTACTTGTCTATGTACACTGCTATTTCCCTGCAGATAATGTAGATGTTCAGACAAAGTCTGTTTTCAAGTTTTTGAATCTCTTTAACACTGTACGTGTGTAGCTGGTTATATTCTTGAGATATGCTCAGACAGTTAGTTTGGTTGTGTGTGTTACCATACACACTGTATTGTTTTTACTTATCTGTGCTTGTACTGTATTTGTTCTAATAGAAGCATGCATGAACTATTAAAAATTGCGCATACTGAATATACTGGAGTTACAGGGGCCTTTGCAATTTTTGAGTCTTCCCTTGGTCTTGTTCTCTAATTACAACAACTAAGAATCAACAGGTTTCCAAGTTTCCAGAAACTGAAAAATTAGCACAACTGTCAATGGAGTGCTAGGCATATGTCCATATCATAAAATGTATTTCACTCTGTCACCCCATTGCTTGGGAGAACATTGGTGTGGTTCTATAGAATGCGACCTATTTGACTATACATGTACACCTGAAAATGCATGTGCTACTAATAGGGCAATCTGAACAAATACATATTTTGACTGGCAGTTTTAACTTTCTTATAATTTTTCTATCTTTCTTTTAACTCGTGTACATCAAGTCGTCCGTTTATTACTCATGATATATGCCTAATCGTGGTTTATCCGTTCCCTATCTCAGCATCACTTGTATAATTGTATGTAAACAAATGCTTCAAACTGTTTGTGTTATGTCTCAAAACATTATCCTTCTATTGCAAGTGATCGCTTGGTTATGGTGGCGGCTAGCTTGACTTCTCTGTGCCTCAGATTAGGTTTCAGCAAATTTGCTATTTGGATTACTGAAAGCTTCCTAACATACTTACATATATATGCATGCTAATCGTAATTACTCGTAAAAGATCCTGTCCAATTAACATACTTACATATATATGCATGCTAATCGTAATTACTCGTAAAAGATCCTGTCCAATTAACATACTTAGGTATATATGCATGCTAATCGTAATTACTCGTAAAAGATCCTGTCCAATTAACATACTTAGGTATATATGCATGCTAATCGTAATTTCTCGTAAAAGTTCCTGTCCAATTAACATACTTACATATATATATGCATGCTAATCGTAATTACTCGTAAAAAATCCTGTCCAATTAACATACTTAGGTATATATGCATGCTAATCATAATTACTCGTAAAAGGTCCTGTCCAATTAACATACTTAGGTATATATGCATGCTAATCGTAATTACTCGTAAAAGATCCTGTCCAATTAACCAAGATAATAACTGCTGACCAACCTGATAACTACTCCAATTATTGTACAATTTTATGTGATGGAAATGTTCTGTTCTGATCATTGCAGGTGGGGGGGGGGGGGGGGTTGAACTGTGTTACAACTTTGATTCCGCTATTTATTTAAATAGCTTAAGGTAGAAGAGTACGGAATTTTTGTAAATATTTAAATATTCACCGAATTGGTGACATTCTAGATTAACATGATATTCAAACACTGGGCAACAACAACTTAGGCCACAAGACAAAAACACTTTATTGATAAAAAGTGTTAGACTTGGGCTAGGAAATGTTTTCCCAGTTTGATGAGACTTGATACTACTCTCACCATTCATTTGACCAATGGTTAAATACATATATATATCTTTCATGTTATTTGTTTGTCTACAGACTTGAGGTGTAGGTGAATTTAGATTGTATATTTGAAACTTAAACAATCATTTCAAATGCCTTGCTGCAATGTAATTACGACATGTACTTGCAAGAAACATTTATGTAGATCACTGGTCAAGATTAAAAACTTATATACCCTCCCCACCATCAACAAAAAATTCGCTGACATTTAAATATGAGGTGTTTTGAGAGTGAGGGTAATATTGTGATCATCTCGCAAATTGCGTAACTTCTCAATTCTCGTTAATTTTCATCGCATTTCACACCACTTGCATATGATGCCTTCCAAAACCCTACACTTAGACGTTAAGTTACCTCCGGCATTGAACTTACTGGGTCTTAAATTGGTTTTTCATTGGTCTGAAAACAGATATTAAAAAATCATATATACATTGCTCCTCTTATTGCTGCAGGAACCTTGTTAATAGATTATCAAACCGCTGTTCCTCTGACCTTTATTGAGCAGCAGCATTTCAATTACTTTGATAAGCAAATTATCTAATGAAATATCAAAGGGTACATTTATTGAAACAGTTTCATTTGATGTTGGCCATTATTATTTATTAAGACTGGTTGTTATACCTTTTCTACTAAATAGAAATAATGAAAATAATAATAATAATTATGATGTTCAACTTCACTGAGTTTTTAAATTCAGATATCCAATATTTCAAAGTATAATGTATACCGTAAGCAATTAAATTTACATTGAGTATAACTGGTAATTATGTAGAAACTTTGTCATTGTGCTTATTCATCTCAGCATTCAGTTTACTTGTTATTTTGGAGATTTGAATGAAAAGTTGTTTTTGTGTATCCATGCGGCTATTTCATGTTTACCGGAAAGTACAACATTGGTATTGTGCATTGGAATGCTTGGCATTTGTCATCGAGTACAAAAACAAAGCCAGTATTAAAGTAGTTCTGTAAGCATACAACTTCTTCAGTTAAAAAAACCAAAATGGTGTTCAAAAAATTACATTGGCCGCAATAAACACTTAGGACGCCAAGCCGGCGTAAAAAAACTACTCCTTCTTTCTTGATTGCCTCACTTAAGTTCAAAGACTAAGCATGAACACTAATGAGGCAGTGGATATATATATATATATACCCTCGGTATTGCATGGAAAAGAATGTTGCAACGTATCATGGCGTAAAAGACACTATACACGTCCCTGTGCTCACTCGAATCATGAATGCACGTAAGTCAAACGGCAGAAATACATGATGTATTCAAAGTCGGCGGTGTGAATCGCACCATGATTCAAACGGTTATTTGTACCTGTTTCTAAGGGTCTTTGATGCCACGTTCTGTCATGACTCACCGCTCCCTGTGAAGTACTTGTCCCTGAATACGTTCTTGTTTTTGACAAGTTCAGGCTGCCAAACATAGTCAAATATTTAATTTATAGCTTTTGTCTAGGAAACCTGCTTTGAAAAGAAACCTTAAATGTTTCCCCACTGGAGCAGAATGATGTAAATAGACTTTATGGCTGCTTTAGTAAGCCCCTTATATTTATAAAGCTGTACACTATTTGAATTTACTGAATCCATGAAGCAATATACCAAGAGTCTTAGCAGGGATGTGCAGTAGACCACTCTTAATAGTGGAAGTATTTTTCCTTTAATAACTTCCAAGATCTGCTGTACCCATTAAACGTTGACAAAGATACATGATGGTTTACACTTGCATTTATTTTTTTTAATTGGAATATTTGACTGATTAACTTTGTGATGGTGTTGCTGCAATTAACCACAGGACACTTATCACGTTCTATAAGTGGTAATTATAGTAATTACCCCAAAATTTGTTGCCAGGTACCAATTGCCATTACTTACTCAGGCAAAGTTATTCACTATTTTTGTTGAGTTTCAGCTTTAATGTTTAAAATTAGAATGCAAAAACATTTTGATACAACATATTTCAATCACAATTTATGAGTGTTTCTTATTCTTACTCAGTACATGTATAGCTTACAAGACTGTGACCTCACTAAAAATGTATCATTTATGTCATGTCATTAAAATTGATGAACAAAAATCATTGTAACACATACGTTCCACAAAGAATATTCTTAAAATGACAATACCATTCATACAAAATAACTTATTTTCCATTTTCACAATGGTAATAAGATCACAAGTTTCATGCCTGTTTTGTGACACTAATTACAATCTGAATTGTCAACACCAAAGTGTTCTACTCATGAATATATTTTTCAAAACAAACTTTCAAAGAAAGTCATATGAAGGTAAATGAACAATTCATGATACATTTGAAAAAATCAAACACAAGCACTGAAATTGACATAATATATTCAAGTCATGGGGCTTCAGCAGTTAATGAAAACATTCCTTATATTTTCATCTGAACGAAAATATTATCAAACAATATATCATTGAAATGCCACTTGTCTCTTATAATTCACAACTTTTTAATTATAAGTACCGAGTGCTGAGCACACATATATTTTAGTGCATTTCTGTTTGAGACTTGCATTGCATTGCAGTTTGATATGATCATCTTTTTATTACAATGGCAGTATGGCATGGAATATGCTATCACAGCATCAGGCTTGGTTGAATGCACTTAATCACCTGTGGGTCTTAACCAATGCTGCCCTCAAGTTACTGTGCCCAGTGAATGAGTCTTAGCCTGTGCATTTGGCTTCTCCATTTGAATCTATGTCACACTCATATAGGGTAGGCATGTCACCCTGTTTTTATGTTCAATCCCGAGTTATATGCATTCAAAGACTGGCTCTTCTCACCATAAGCAGCAACCTGTATACTAAGGATGAATTGGCCATTTTAGTATATCTGTTACATAAAAATAAAAATGTGTTAAATTGCACACTAATATCTTAAACCAGTTATCGGAAAGACAAGTTATGGCAACACTTTTTTACTCCCATGTGCGAAGCACATAATGGGAGTCTTTGCCAGTTACCCTGTCTGTATGTGTGTGTGTGCGTCTGTTCCACTGATTTTAGGTTTTGGTAGAAACCATGCATATTAATTACCTAATTTGCATGATAATTAGCTCATTTTCAGCTGTTCCATGACTGTTCCACTGATATCTAAAGAACCACTCATTGAATTTTGATGAAACTTGGTATATAGATGCTCTGAAATTATGTGCAGATTTGATTAGTTTTTAGTAAAAATTTGTGCATATTAATTACCTAATTTGCATGATACTTAGCTAATTTTTAGCTGTTCTATGACTGTTATCTGATATCTAAAAAAACCACTCATTGGATTTTGATGAAACTTGGTTCATAAATGCTCTGAACTAATGCCAGGTTTTGATTAGTTTTGGGTGAAAATCTGTGCATATTAATTACCTATTTTGCATTATGATTAGTAAATTTTCGGCTTTTCCACTGATATCTCAACTACTGATCATCACATTTCAATGAAACTTGGTACCTAGATGTCATAGGACACTGCACAGACCTAGTAGTTTTTAGTAGTTTTTGCATAATTAATACAATTTCAACTTTCACACTGATATCTCAAGTCTTAATCATCACATTTCAATGAAACTTTGTACATAGATGCTCTAGCGCAATGTACAAATATGATCAGTTTTGGGTTAAAATCTGTTCATATAAATTCCCTAATTAGCATAATAATTCATAATTGTTTGCTTCTGATCACATTTCAATGAAACTTGGTACATAGGTGGTCTGTTACATTGCGCAGACCTTATTAGTTTTACACTGTGTTCATTTTAATTTTCTGATTTGCATAATTAGTTTTCAGCTTTTCCATTAATATCTCAAGTACAAGTAATTTTGAATTAGTTTTTACTATGTCTCTAATACTCTCAGCACACAGGAGTTCTTTCTAAGCTTTCTTTGATTTTTACTGTTACCTGCTAAATTATAACATGTGTATAATGTGTTTAAGGTTGATCAATACAGTTACATGAATTTTCTTGGAAATTTTTGATACCTTTCTGAATACATTGCTGTACAATATCATATGCAGAAACTCAAGATCATGAAAGAATGTGTCAGGAACTGCGATTTTGAAAAATGAAAATGGAAGTCACAGAATACAGTTTCAATAGTTTGTTCTATACTAATACATAGGCGATATAACCTGTTCTCACACGATCCAGTCAGAGACTAACCCACACAGAGACTATTGTTTACTTTCTCATTGGAGAATTTAGTGTGGATAGTATGTCATGCTATCTGCTAACTTAACAGCTTGCTCTCAGGTTTGAAACTGAACTGACCGTGTCTAACAACATGTACAGTAGGTTAACATACAACATCTGTCTGTATGTGGTTGGTTATTCAGGTTTGGCTTGTGAACTTCTGATATTAATTAATGGTGGTTATACTGACTTTATGCTCTAGTTTTTGTATATGTCTATACATAGTTGCCTTTCCTTGCTGCTGTGTGCTTCTCTTCGCTATTCTTGTGTATTAGATTGCGTAATACATCACCTTCGTCTAATATTATATTGTCCACTATAATTGTCTACCCTTGTCTGATATTAGTTGTCTATCATGGCAAGCTGTCAACTAATCAGAAGGAAGTATTCATGCAATTGAAATGCTGGTACAATATAAATATGTGTATTCATAATAACTACCTGTAGTCAGTGGGAACTGTTTCCCATAAAACTAAATCTGTTCTGTGGTGTCTTGTCCGTGTGTTTTTCTGCATACATGTAGTCTAGCATACAAACAGATAATATGTAACTGACTAATCCGGTACAGGTGAAACCCGATTGATCAGTATCTGTGCTATCTAGGAAAATCTGACTTTCATGGTGTTCTAGATACGTAGTGTAAATTGTAAGAAATTGATTATGAAAATCCAGTGTTAAAATACAGTGGGGGGAAAAATGCATTACGTAATCTTTAAATTCATCAAAATTAGTGATTCTGGAAGATGAAAAACAAAATGTACATCCTTGATCTGTAATGTAAAAATAGTGATATGTTTATATCTTGTATTCACTGGGTCTATTGTAGGTGTGCTTCCAATATATGAAACACATTCACATATTTGGGGTCACAGACATTAGCTTGGGGTGAGGAGAGTCTACTTCTGATTAGAAGTGACACTGTTGATACATTTACTGAGCTGCAGCTGTTGATATATGTATATAATTATTTTGTTGTTGAATGTCAGGAAATAATATTCCAGATTTATTGCTGTGAAAGTACATCTTCAACATGACAGTATAAATATAATTATGTTTGGATGTGAAAAACACTTTGATGTTAGTTTGAGTTACAGTGTGTTTCAGTGTATTTGCTATACTGTTATATTGTGCTCTCAGAGCCACCATTCTGCAAGCCCCACGCCCACGGTGTAGGTTTACGAAGTAGCGTGCCGTTACCAATATTGGCAGAGGCACTCCAGTTACAAGCACACACACATCTGTATTGTGCAAAATCGCATGCCAATAAACTTTGCTTGTGACACCTGAAAACCCTCGCTAGGTAAAATGCACACTAGTCTCATTTTCATATTTTTTTTTTCTTTTTCTTTTTCTCACCTAATTTGGTGAGAATAGAATAAATTGTTTTTTTTTCTCTTCACTTACCTGTTTAAACAAGTACAATTTAAGAAGTGTTTTAAAACAGATTTTTAAAGTGTTGATATTAAAGAGAGAAAGATAGAAAGACATTTTGGACAAAAGTTTAATCACTTTTTGTTCTTATTCCCCTGCGGCCGTTGGTGAAAATAACAGTCAAATGAATGTTGCCGGCCGTGAATCAATTGATAACTTATTGTTGTTGTTTATTCATTGTTTACAAGTTTTCTGTTTTCTTGTTTCACAGCCCAGTCCAGGTCGAAAGAGTGAAACTATTGACAGGATACATGGTAAGACAAAACAAGAGGAAATCCCAAATGAATCAGAATATAACCATCATCAGTATGTAGCACATGCACAGGATGGTGCTGACAGTTTAATCAGTAAAAAAACGCCATACGTGCCTCCACACAGCGGAGAGCAGAATGGCAAACACGATCGAAAGGGAGAAGAGCTGCACGGGACCATAGAAATGCTAAATATAGACAAAGGGTATTGTGCCATGGAAGGGAACAATAAGGCAACTTATAAAACTTATTCAGGTGTGACCAAGAGTGGAGATAAAAGGACTAGAAGTGACGTAGAAAGGATCGGTGAGCAAGACACAGACAGGAGTGCAGCAATCGTACATGGTGCCATGTGTATAGAGAGTCCCAGGAGCAATGAAGCAAAAGTAATAGCCAATGAGATAGAAACACAAAGACTGCCAGGTCAGCATACTTCACATAGCGCTTGCACTTGGACAAGTTTGACCCATCAAGGACAAGAACTTAACATTGGCAACAGAGAGCCGTCGCATGAAGAAGTACCAACTGTAGATCAGCCAAGTGGACTAGACAGCGATGATAAGAGTCCAACACAGCTGAAAGCTCTAGAACAAAGTGGAGATTTGTCTGATATCAGGACCATTGTGAGTAACACAGGTAAAAGCATACAGAAACCTGATCTCAGCCGTGTGAATGGTTGGCACATTACAGGTATAACTGAACCCTATCACCAGTCTGATTGGCATTTTAGAGACGGGGAGTGTGCAAAACAGAGCAGGCTAGGTGCTAGTAGCAGCTGTACTCAACAGGATTTAGATGTCTCCCCTCTTACTAAAGAAAGGGTCACCGTTAATGCATGGAGCACCCCAGCAGGAAACAATGCAGAACCACCTCCAAAATCAGAGGAGTCCCTGTCGGCACGAATTCGGAAAAAGAGCATGTTGCTAGCTTACGATGAAGGACAACTGGAAATCGCTGATGATACCACTTACCGATCGCTGGATATTGAAACTGACATTGACCTAATCACTCAGATTAATAAGGTACATGAGGAATTTGTTCATAACATGATGACTCCATTGAAATCACCTGAAAACAGTAGCTTAAAAAGGACAGGTAGTATATCGAAGGGCAGTGAGTTCAGTTCAGCCACTTCATCTGTGACAAAATCTCAGGAAAGAAAGCACAGTCCCCCATCAGGTGGGAACTTCAAACGAAATTCCCCTAAGTCGTCATCATTTCGGAGACCATCAGGGGTGAGTATTGCTTCAATAGACTTTGATGGCAAGGAGCAAAAGCCCACCACCCCTTTAGAAAAATGGCAGAAGCTCAAAAAACACATCTCAGATAGTATTCTGGGCTCTACAAAGCATAAACAGGGTAGAAAGACCACATCCGACAGTAGTCTTCCTCAGGACTATTCCTCAGTTCGTAGGGCCTCAGCGGCTGATGTAGCAACCATACCAAAAGTATACAGGAAAGACTCAGGTGCCGATTTGTTGTGCGCACGTGGTGAGGACAATGATCGAACGCCAAAGTTGGAGCGGCGACCTAGCCTACGACGCCAACGAAAACTTGCCATGTCACCAGTTGAGAATGAGAGACTTTTTAACCAGCTTCAAAAAGAGAGGACTAATAGTTGGAGCGGTAGTGATGATAGTGGTATCCATAACAACCAGTCTCGGTCGAGTACAGATGTGTCAATTACTGAAGATGATCAGACCAAGGTAGGTAACTAATTACTATGGTAAAATTCCTCTTAAAATGATAAGGTATTGGATGCTTTGATTTTTACCACATCACATTTTGCCATTCTCATCAAGTTTGTACATGGAACTGACAAGATTATGGGTAATTGTATGTAAAATCATGAATTCAAAAATGGGAGAAGTAAGTTTGAATTTCTTTGTTGAAGAAATTTAATACATTTCTTGCCAGTTTAAGGCAATAAATACCACAGTATTTAAATTTACTTTAGTTTGTAGGGTTTTGATCTCATTGTTATATATTTGAAGATTTTATTTATTCAATCTTGAAATATTCTTTTCAGAAAGGAAAAAAAAATAATTGTAAACTGATTTTTTGTTGACAGTATTATTTTCAGCCTGACACCCAGCAGACATAGGCAATTATCAAATACATCAAATCTAATCAGAAAGGACTCCACACATCATAAAGAGTTTAAGTTCATGAGCCTTTAGGGAAAGAATATAAGGAAACTCTAGAAATAATGCTATTGTACTTTAATATGTAGCCTTGGCCTTGTGCACAAACTGAAAAAAAAAAACATTATTTAAACAAAAAATGCTTGACTAATAAAGTTTATACATAGCCTAGTCTGTGGCCTTCACATCATGCTTACGTCTTTTGTGGTTAAAGTACTAGCTTTTCCTGATGCTCTTATCATGTACTTTATTAGTACAAAGTGAGCCCTCGTTGAGTTCAATTGCTTGCCATACATGAAGGACAGTCCATTTGCCAAGTATACAATAATGGTGGAGTCTGCTGGAATGCAACCAATCCCACCTTGTCTCGATTACGTCTGGAAGTTCACATTTGTTGGCATATTTTCATTTTCCTAGCTTATCTTTCTTTATAGTATGATCTGGGGTGTAGTATCTGTGATTAAGATGTAAATCTTTCAAATTTCCCGGTGTGACATGTCTGAATTTGTCCTTTTAGGGGGAACGCTGTCCTGTGACATTTTCTAAGCGTGTCCCCATTTCTATTGAGTATCAGGAACAGTACATGGTATCAAATTCTACCAGCTAAAGTAACCTTACACCGCGGCGCTGTATGTTCTGTGTTTCTCCATCCCACACACCACACAATATTCGATTCAGCACAGAATACAAATGTGTGTACAAGCCTCGTTTGCTTTCCGTCGTTGTTAACCTAAGCACCATTGACTTTAGTGGGGACCTTCTAATAGTAGAGACATTGTGCTCGTTGTTCTTCTTGTCAAAGAAGTTCTATGATGAATCCCCCCCTGCATAGTAATTCATACGGCAAGCAGCAATATAAAATCTACAGTGCGTTGTCGAAACTAGCCCAACTCTTATGTTAATTTGAATTAAATGACCCCTGTTTAGCTTTAACTTCAGTGGTGAATCAGAATACAAAAGAAGGAGCATTTATTGCTTTTCTATTCTTGATTTCAACCCAAATTTTCCTTTGTGGGTGAGCAACACATATACATATTAATAAATAGCAGAATTTCTATTTTCATTGATGTAGCTGGCAGGTATCCAGTCTGCTACCCCTACCTCCCCTCTCAGCTTTCGTGTGTATGTGATTTCTTACATTGTAATAGCCCTGCAATGTTGTTGGTTGCTCATTGCATGTTTAGAAACATATTGCTTTGTAAGAACTGTTGTATAGAATGCCATGGACAGCATTTCTCAAGACATGACTGTTAGAAATAATCCACATGTAAGTTACTATCAAAGTTGTATACTGCATAAACACAACTCCCAACAGATTCAGTACAGGGATTGTTTTTTAATTAAAAAAAGAAAAAATCAAGTTAACTTTGTTGTGAAAACCTGTATTTTGGTAAAAATAAGATTATAATTGGAGCACTTGACACTAGGTGACCACAGCAGAAAATGGTGGTGAAAAGCTTGATTCTGTCCCATCTAAATCGACCAGTGAAAAGAAAACTGAAACCACTTTGCAATATAAGTTCCCACTTCCGTCATTGTTGAGTACTGTCACTTTATATTGAAAGTGATACTGTTCACATGTGGTGTGCGGTAGAGGTTCTCAATCTTGATAGATGGCATCTTTGAGTAGTTTGTCTCATTTATACATACTTGCCAAAGTTTTCTACACCTTTGGTTACATGTGCACAGAGTCAATGTATTGGTATTCTGGGACGTCTGTCTTTATAGATTTACTGCAGTTTTCTAAAGTCAGTTGCATTGTGTTGGATAAAGTAGCTCCCTTAAATTGTGTAGACCATGACAAACTGCATACAGTCTCCAATAATGTAGTTGTTGTGTGATTACCCACAATTGCTAAATGATCTAGTAGAGAATATGACACAAACAAGTATAAATATGCTTTCACATCTGTCTCAGTTCAACAGGTTCTTTGTCAAGCTATTGTGAAACAAATTGTAATATAAAGCCATTCTCTGTTCATGGTGGCCATGGTAGGTTAAAGCATTATACCAGAATTGTCGCTCTTTTCAAAGCACTAAAATTTACTCCCTCTGTTGGTTTGAAGTTCCATTTCCATCATTGTCATTCTCTGTACAGGACACATGCTGACTGGGTGGCCTTGTTTGTTTAAAGCCAAGTTCCACCATTGTCATACTCTGTACAGAACACATACTGGTTGGATGGCCTAGTTCATTTGAAGCCAAGTTCCACCATTGTCATTTTCTGTACAGGACACATGCTGACTGGGTGGCCTTGTTCATTTGAAGCCAAGTTTCACCATTGTCATTCTCTGTACAGGACACATGCTAACTGGGTGGCCTTGTTCATTTGAAGCCAAGTTCCACCATTGTCATTCTCTGTACAGGACACATACTGGCTTGGTGGCCATGTTCATTTGAAGCCAAGTTCCACCATTGTCATTCTCTGTACAGAACACATACTGGTTGGATGGCCATGTTCGTTTGAAGCCAAGTTCCACCATTGTCATTCTCTGTACAGAACACATGCTGATTGGGTGGCCTTGTTCATTTGAAGCCCAGTTTCACCATTGTCATTCGCTGTACAGGACATATACTGGTTGGATGGCCATGTTCGTTTGAAGCCAAGTTCCACCATTATCATACTCTGTACAGGACACATACTGAATACAGAATACATAATAGTTAGATGGCCATGTTCGTTTGAAGCCAAGTTCCACCATTATCATACTCTGTACAGAACACATACTGAATACAGAATACATACTGGTTGGATGGCCATGTTCGTTTGAAGCCAAGTTCCACCATTATCATACTCTGTACAGAACACATACTGGCTTGGTGGCCATGTTCATTTGAAGCCAAGTTCCACCATTGTCATACTCTGTACAGAACACATACTGGCTTGGTGGCCATGTTCATTTGAAGCCAAGTTCCACCATTATCATACTCTGTACAGAACACATACTGGCTTGGTGGCCATGTTCATTTGAAGCCAAGTTCCACCATTGTCATTCTCTGTACAGAACACATACTGGCTTGGTGGCCATGTTCATTTGAAGCCAAGTTCCACCATTGTCATTCTCTGTACAGAACACATACTGGCTTGGTGGCCATGTTCATTTGAAGCCAAGTTCCACCATTGTCATTCTCTGTACAGAACACATACTGGTTGGATGGCCTAGTTCATTTGAAGCCAAGTTCCACCATTGTCATTCTCTGTACAGGACACATGCTGACTGGGTGGCCTTGTTCATTTAAAGCCAAGTTTCACCATTGTCATTCTCTGTACAGGACACATGCTAACTGGGTGGCCTTGTTCATTTGAAGCCAAGTTCCACCATTGTCATTCTCTGTACAGGACACATACTGGCTTGGTGGCCATGTTCATTTGAAGCCAAGTTCCACCATTGTCATTCTCTGTACAGAACACATACTGGTTGGATGGCCATGTTCGTTTGAAGCCAAGTTCCACCATTGTCATTCTCTGTACAGAACACATGCTGATTGGGTGGCCTTGTTCATTTAAAGCCCAGTTTCACCATTGTCATTCGCTGTACAGGACATATACTGGTTGGATGGCCATGTTCGTTTGAAGCCAAGTTCCACCATTATCTTACTCTGTACAGGACACATACTGAATACATAATACATACTGGTTGGATGGCCATGTTCGTTTGAAGCCAAGTTCCACCACTATCATACTCTGTACAGAACACATACTGGCTTGGTGCCATGTTCATTTGAAGCCAAGTTCCACCATTGTCATTCTCTGTACAGAACACATACTGGCTTGGTGGTCATGTTCATTTGAAGCCAAGTTCCACCATTGTCATTCTCTGTACAGAACACATACTGGTTGGATGGCCATGTTCGTTTGAAGTCGGGTACCACCATTATCACACTCTGTACAGAACACATACTGGTTGGATGGCCATGTTCGTTTGAAGCCAAGTTCCACCATTGTCATACTCTGTACAGGACACATACTGGCCTGGTGGCCATGTTGGATTGAAGCCAAGTTCCACCATTGTCGTTCTCTCTACAGGACACATACTGGCCTGGTGGCCATGTTCGTTTAAAGCCAAGTTCCACCATTGTCATTCTCTCTACAGGACACATACTGGCTTGGTGGCCATGTTGGATTGAAGCCAAGTTATATTACTTATACTGACTCAGTTACCAAATCCTGGCATCTCATAAAAATCTAGAAAACAAGTCAAAACATGTTGACGTAAAATTTATCAAAATACACATTTGGATGGTTTATTCTATAGATCAGACATAAAAAAAAACGGACATATTTGCTACATGTATGTGAATTTTGCTGAAGTGTTTCATCTCACAGCTAGTATGTTAATATAATCTGTTCACACTGGGTGATGAGTACCCAAACAACATGTCAGGCTTCCTAAGTCCCAGACATTACAGCCACTTATTATTAAAGTTCTTCAGTACTATTTGCCTGGCTATATCACATTTCTTGGTTATTCTACAACAATTGGGTCCTCTTCTGAAACCAGTTAAATTGCTACCGAAATCAATGATCAGTGTTTAAGAAAAAAATTGATAAGTATACATTCACTTGTGATAGCTCTTTTGCTCATCATTCACTTTTGAAGATTCCAGACATGTTGGTATGTCTACACATTTAAACATCTCGGCGTTTGTCACAAGGGTATGGGTTTTAAGTAACCTTGGCAGTAACCTTGAGTGTGAGGTTTAGTGCCTCATTTGATTCTATTGTGAAACCTATATAAGTTTGTGTGTGTATCTTTTAGTGTACCTTGTATGTGGTTTTAATGATTGAACCATGCAATTACTCATATCTCTCAAAAAGAGCTTATCATACGTTGTTCTTGTCGGTCTGCCAGTTATAGCAATTACTAAAGACTTCGGTTGAGGGTTGCATATTATTACTGCAGATCATAAAATGCTTGACATGTTTTATACCCCATTTGCATCTAACCACAGCTTGTATGGTACTGTAAAGTACTTATTTTCACTTGAAATTTATTTTCTCTAAAGAAATGAACCAGTCAAAATAACTTTTTTACATATATTTCACATGCAACTCATCAATAATCAGTCAAAATAAACCTCATATAAGACAGCCGAATTGTCTTTTCAGCGAAAATTCATTCCAGCTAAAATAAAGTATTCCACAGTAGTGCAATTGTAGCTAGTTACTGAGTGGGAGTAGCATGGAATGCAGGTTTATAGATTACAGCCCCCGAGGCACGAGTGGGGTTCGGGCCGTTCTATATATAAACGACTGTAAGTGAATGTACTGTCTGAAATAAACACAATGTGAGCACTCACCTGACAAATTATCACTTCACAGTACCTTGACCACGTACAGACTGTTTTTGATTTCACTCAACTCTGTTGGTGTTGTATTCACGTAGCCTTAAATTTTGTTATACAGGCTTTATTTCGAGGCTTCATTTTGTGCGTTTTTTTTTTCTAACCAAATGTGTTTGTCAGGCACTGTAAGATGAGTAAAATCTTACATCAGTGTAGAGAAATGTTCTAAATTAGTTTCTGTACTGACAGTAGCAGTGCTACTTTATGTTGTTTATTTACTGTGAAACACGTTGAAATAGCGACATGTACATGGCATTTTAACGAATTTGAGCCAATGCATGAATTAACAGAATCCTAATTTGGCTTACATGCCAACAATCTCATTGTAAAAACATACTTTATTTTAAATTAGCGACATATTGTATTAGCAAAATTACCAGTGTAAAATTCCAAATTTTGACCATTTTTTATGAGTGAGTGTGACTCAAAAAATTGCCTGGTGACTTTAATTTTTGTTGATATCCTAATGAAATATGGACAAAATTATTTTGTGAAAAGGAACAATAACTTAGGCGGAGCGTAATAATCCTGTCATAGGAACGCCATTATTAATTACACAAGTCACAAGTGTTTTACTTTAGCATTATACAGTTTTGGTGGAGAAATTAGGATTCGTTTAGGTTCTGTATATTTCAAGGGTTTGGAAAACGTGTTCCTGTGGTTTGGGGATTTGAAATATTGTTGAAATAATAATTATTCACCAGTGTAGTATTCAAAAGTGACAAACATGTATTAACTCCACACCTCTCATCTACATCACTGCCAAAACCTATGCTAATGAAAGAAATTAATTTTGAACCAGCTTAAAAAATGTTTACATTTTGCGACACATGGAAGTACCTTTTCGTACATCAAATATTTTACAATTGTTCATGTAAACTGTTAAAGTAGCCCCAGTAATTAACCTGGCGAAAGCTTTCACAGAATGAACGTGGTATCAACACGTGATGTGTGAAATCGTCTTGTATTTTAAGATGTCAATAGCATACTTTCATATATCGTCAAATTAACCAAAAACTGGCACATTCAATGATAATCAATAGCACAAAATGTTATTAACAAAACATTTCAGATACATGGAAAACATGTAATAACTGAAAGGATAGAGAAATCAGGAAATTACAATCACTTCTAAGTGAAAAAATGGCCCATTCCGAGTAAAAAAAAACATGTGAATCTAAATATTCAAAGTATTCAAGTGTGTCAATAATATAACATTGTCAGGTACATTTTACATCTATATTATACTGGACATTATTGGTACAAGATTCAAGTCAATAGCTGAGATCTTGGTTTGGATTGGCAGAAATGCTTGGTTTTGTTGAATTTTTAACGTTAAAATGGCTGCCATTTGGGCATCTTGAATCTGATATGTGTATATGTACTACATAATGTATCTATAAAGTTTGAAAGTGATTGGTCAAGGCATGACAGAAATATGGCTCTGGAACAGCATTTGTTTTAAAAAAAAATGACCACCAGTCGGCCATTTGAAATCCGATCCTAAAAATACAAAATGCATCAAGGTCTCATTATGTCGAATGTATGTACAAGGTTTGATCGAAATACATCTATACACAGAATGGCAGAAATGTTTGATTTTTATGGATTTTAAGTTTTAAAATAGCCGCTGTTCGGCCATCTTGAATCAGACCGTGAATCATAATGAATCTGCATATGTATCTAAGCTGTATAATGTGATTGGCCCAGGCATACACGAACGGATGGACAGACATAGACATGGAGGTCAATCCATAAGTCCCCATTTTTAGGCTGTGTTCGAACGGGCACTAAAAGTACATACTGGTAATAATGTACAAAATGTAGCCCCAAAATTGTGTTCAAAGATGATATTTGAATACACCAACAGAATATTCAGCATTTTATATGAGCGGGTATTTAAATCTTGTGTGTATAAGCAGAACAGTTTTATTAATATCATCCTACTGTAAAAGGGTTAATTATTCACTGGGTTTTAATTTTGCTTATTTCGCTGACTGGAAAATGCGCTAAATTAAAACCCAGTAAATATGTAAAGTTGAGCATAGAACACATTATCTAAATGATTAAAACCGTGAATTTAATACCCACTGAATATGCCTGAAATGCTAAATCAGCGAAATTTAAACCCAGTGAAAATTAGTCATTTTACAGTATGTCATGTGGGATTGATATCAAACCTAGTATAACAACTGTGATGATTAAAATAATCTGATATTATTTGTAGTTTTACTTCAAAACATTCATTTATTAATTCACTTCTGCTTTATAAAAATAATTAGCTCAGTACACCAATTCATATATCTGAGAGATATTTCATAGTTCATTGTCATCTTTATACTTTTATTTCTTGATGTGTACACCATCAAATTTTCGCCGCTAGAAATGTTCACGATTTGATAGTCTTAGAAAGTGTACCTAACATCGTCTCACAAAATTTAATCAGTTTACACTTAGGTTTTTGCAGATATAATATCAATATGCAGGTTTTATAATCCCTCGATATTTCCTTTTAGATTGACGTCAACAGACATGAGTTGACGTCAGTGGATTAATCTATTGCACGTGAATGTCTTACATACGCTGTGTGGCCAATCTGGCTGTTTGTGATATTTTCAACAATTCGTCAGAAAATGAAACTGTACACTCATTAAAGTGTATCATTCTTATCTTATTTGGTGGTTATCAGACATTTGGCCAAAAAAAAAAAAATCTTGAATATTTTGTTTCCGATGAGGTGACACGGTTTTAAATTTTGTTGGTATTAAGATTATTTAATACCACAACAACAATATATAAGATCAACGTTTAACAATTATTTAATAATAGTTTTGAATACATACATTAAAATTGATTTGGAACTACAAAACATCCTCTTAAACAGAAACAAAATAATACACAAAATTGGCTGTATGAAAATCAGAAACATTTTGGTATTGCCCAAGTAGTACGTCCTATAGGAAAAACATTCGATGGTATGTGATTGAGATTTGTTTATATAATTTATGAAATTTCCCACTCAATTTGCCTCCATATATAAAACCTAAATTTGCCCATTCAGATCACATTTATGCACGTTCTTTGGATAACGTTCAACGTACTTATAAATGGTCTTTTTGCTAAGGTTAAACTGAGGGATTGACGCACCCACATCAACTGTGTATATATATCATTCTGTTTTCCCCACCATGTTTATTGTTGACTCAGTTGTGTTATTGTACTGCTAGGAAAATGCATCAATATGACAGGGCCTGGCTGGTAAAGAAGTTCAGGAACAAAGATGGGTGTTACATGGGTCAATGACTGATAAAAGTTAGCACCTATTTGGCATGTCAAAAGTTTTTAACATTCTTTTTTCCTGCATTGATACCCAGGTATTGTGTACGATGACGTACACTATGCTGTTGTATGATGAAGGGGCGAGTCCCTCTGTGAAAGCCTGTGTTGACACAGAGACAGCCTTAGATGTAATAAACTTTTAAACTGACAAACATAAAAAAAACATTTACACATAATTCAGTTTGCTATGAAAACCATCACTGCTGAACAACATCCTTATCCATAGCACTTAAATTAATTTGTCCAGACCTTGCATAATGAGACTGTGTGCATGATGTCACCAGTGTATCAGGATTAATGGGTGTTGCAAGATTTAATTGTCTAATTGTATATTCCCAACAGATCAAAGCAATGCATATTGCCTTCAGCATTCTAATAATTCAATTGAAATAGTCAGCAAAAAATATGTCACCTTGATTTCATCTGAGTATGTCTTATAAGCTCTTTTATGCCATGTTGCCTACCACACGCAGCGTTGGAATAGGAGCACCAATTCATTATAAAAACTGAAAAGCTTTTCCTTGGCTTTTCCTGATTCACCAATATATAGAAGAACACAAAGACAATTAATTTACAAAGACTTCACAAATTAATGTTTTCTGCAGAGATCCGCTTGCAATATATTAGTATTAACTAACTAATTCCTTCCATTAAAATATCAGATTCTTATCCTTACTGGATACTTTCAAAGATTGCAAATTTAGCTGTTGTCTTCTGTTAGTACGGTACCAGTGGAGCAGACAAGTATACTTGAAAAATAGTATTTTCTATCTGGATTATATGATATTGTGTTCTGTATTTATTTATGTATCGCGGTTATTTTTGAATTGATGATACATTTTTCTTCTCTTGTAGGAATCAAATGCTGTTCCTGGAGAGCAAGACGTGGTAGTCAGACGACGCAGACCTCATGCTCAGCGCAGGCCTAAATCTGACATTGGTGACCATAGGTGGGAGGACTATGGAGCAATGGGAGGACCACCAGCACCACCGCCAAGGACTGTTACTAGGAGACCAATTTCGGATCCAGTGATGAGGGATGAAGATGAATTAGGTAAGTTTTTGTGAATGTAGCTAACAAACTCTTGGAACACCATTTTCCTCTGATTGACTATTTGAAAAATTAGGGTAGTATATTTGCTTTATTAGAAGTGCATCTCCAATAGAAGCGTACATTAATCAATAAAATATGACTTATTCTTGCAATAGTTATTTTCACAATCTCTGTCACTTTAATTGTGTGTGCTACTAATAGTACTCAAAATAGTTTTTAACACATCGGGTCATAGATTTGATGAGCTTTATAAGGGTGTCAAGCGTCTAGCTGAAATTAACAGCATACAACCAAATCATCCTATCAGGCAGCAGGATTGTTTTTGTTTTGTTTTTTTGATTTTATAATAGAATAGTTTTAGTATGCCTTGCAGAAAGTCACTACTACTATAGTGATAAGATAGCCCCAAACTGTTCTTACCAAGGTTGATTTCATTTAATGCTTTGTCACTTATGCTTGGAGGTAGAAATCTTAGACAGGTTTATCATTGATGTCAGTAAATCTCAGCTAGTCTTTCTACTGATTGAAAACATGCTATTTAAGATCTATGTCTCATGATAATTTTTCATTTGGTGTTTTGTTTTGTTTTTGTATCCAATTTCAATCGATCATTTAATATTATATAAAGGTTAATGCTTGGATGTCAGTTTTATTTTGCAGGATGGCTTGAAAATATACAAACCATTTGCCTTTATGAGTCTTGAATCTCTGTTGAAAAAAAGACAAAGAAGAATTCTCCTGCAATGTATAATGGAAATGCTAGATGGAGCGTCCACTGAGATTGCCATTTTACAATTATCCAATCTGCAATGTTTTATTCTTTTTCTTCCGCACACAGTCATTTACAGAGACAAGAGAAGCAGTCAGCCTCGACCCAAGTCAGCACATCTTGGAGATTATTCTTCTCTCAGTAGAGATAGACCAATATCACCGACGCCACCACCCAGGTGCCGACCGGGATCCCTTGCAGTGATCAAAGACTATGGAGGCGAAGACAACACCGGCAGTGCAACAACAACACCAACTACAGAAAACGCTCCAATTACAATTGAAGCAAGTAAGGATGTTATTTATTTTTATTTTTTTACTAGTAGCTTTGCGGTGAGTGGCTTTCGCAGTAATTGGGTTTCGTATCTGTAGGGTTTCGCAGGGAGTAGGGCTTTGTCCCAGTAACTGGTCCTTTCATCGTTGTTGCGAATTAAAGTTTTATGTTTCTTTAACAACTGGCACTATTCTGGGAATACCATTCTAGCAGGAGTTCCAAAATAAGACCCATGCTCTGATAATGCCTCTAGTTTCAGAGACCAATAAACATTACCATTATGATCTTATTGGTGTTGCAAAGGATAGTTGAATACTGTTTATTATTATTAATAATCCCCATAACCGTTTTCCAATATAGATAAATTGTAGTACCTAACAAACTGTATAACTCGGTCTCAACAATGAAATAAAGGAATGTATACATTTACACTATTTATACTTGTTTATTATACTTTTATTGCTACTGTACTGATAGAAATACTGTATTTCTAAAGATGTAATAAATATTATTATTATTACTAATGCATTGCAATACAACTAATTCAATTGAAAGAAATTACAATATAAAGTATTCATCGGTAATACCGGTACTTCTCAAAGGTGTATTTCGCGGTCAGTGTTATTTACAAAAATATTTGTTTATAATTTTATAAACTTGCTTGGCAATACCCACCCCAAGTAGATATAATGTGTACATATTTTAATAAATAAAGATATACTAACAAAAATAAAATATTAATTATTTCATATTTTATTATATAACCTGCACAACAGTAATCAATATTTTTCCTTGCTAGAATGATGTGTAACTTTATACAGGAAT